AAAGCTACCGCTCGGGCAACTTCTTCAGGGTCCTCCGCTTGAACAGCCTGAGCTGGTGCCTCCATCGCATCAGCACCCCTCGACCCCAACCGCGAATGAGCCGAGCGTCGAGCCCGGGATGTGGACTGACGCTGCGGCTCCACTTGTGCGGTCGGTTGTACTGGAGGGGCGGCGGCTGGAGCTGTATAGGCAGGCGTATATGGTGGATAACCAACCGGGGAAGTGTAGCACATCGGTTGGCCTGGCCAATACCCGTACGGTGGAGGTGGGACCGGGTACGGATACTGGGCGGGATACATCATGGGCTGCTGCTGGTATGGCAGACCGGGTGTTGGGTATCCTGGTTGTATGTAATTCACCGGCTGCTGGGCGGCCGGGTATGTATTTGACGGATGCGGTGGTGAGAGGTTGAGGTTGAGGTCCATCGTCTGACCCTGCTGTTGGGTAGCATAGTGGTCGGAGGAGCTCGCCGCGTCCGCCTGGTCGTCGGCAAAGTTGTTGTGTGCCCACGGATACATGTCGATATGGTGATCGGGTGCTCGTCAAGACGTTGATTTCTTGCACGGCTCCCCACAGACGGCGCCAAAATGATACTGCTAATTATATGTAAGCAATATAAAATAACACGAGACCAATTAAAGCAAGTAAAATCTTTATTGATCACGGTAAAGGCCCTAAGTACAATCTACTTGGTTGCTCTGAGTACCGACTGAGTGCGGTCGGGATTCTCTAACAACAACCTATCGATCGTCCAAAAGTCCTCCCCACTGTAGCTACTGTGGGCATTTATAGCCGCTATGCCGGGGACAAGATTCCGGCTGCTCGGCATGTCCTCCACGTAGCCACCACGTGTCATCCCCCCGGGTGCCCTGTCTGTCGCCATGAAGAGCCGCCACGCATCCTTTCGCGTCCTTGTGCCAGCCCTTTCGTCGAAGGGCTGCCGCTCGGTGGTCGACACCAGCGTTCGGGCAACTTCCGGCCATTCCCGACCGGGGTCTCCATGGAAAAAGCCTGACCTGCCACCTGCAAAGATCAGAAGAGAAAGACAAAGGCAAGCCGGTCGTGGTGGAGCTTATGTCGGTCGGGATATTCCCTACCAAATCCCAACCTTACAACTTCAATCTTTTTGACCACGCTTTCAAGAACCACAACCAATGAGCGGGTGCCGGTCAAAAATGGCGCCGTTGCCGGAGAATGGCAAACGGTAGCTTGAGCTTGTGAGTACGTGTGGAAGGACAACCTTGAAATTCGATTAAGTTTTCTTTTTCTATGTTCTTTTCTTTCATTTGACCCAACAGTGTAGCTACTTTTGGCTACATTGCTTTCAAAGACCAAATTTGGAGTTGATGCACAACAAATCTCACGGAATAGAAAGTTTGATTCCGTTAAACCCAGAAATTCAAAGAACTTCAAGAAGAAGGCTAAGAGCCGAAGGAAACCAAGAAATACGGATCAATATGGCATCCACTAGTGCGGTTAACAACTAGGAAAGAGACGAAAGGATAAGGCCAACAATGGCACCACAATAACCTTAACCAGGAGTAAACATTTTTGAAGGTTCTCCCCCGAGAGAACATGTGAACAACAATGTAGGGCTTGATGAAGAAGTGCCAGGATATGCGGAAGACAGGAATAGAGAAGGACAACCAGGAGAAAGACATATGAGAACAATCGCGGAGTATATGACTCCCGAGTTCTCTATGCACAATTCCATCTATATCCAGCCTATTGAAGGGATCAACTTTACAATCCATCCGTCTGTCATTAACATGATACAGAGCAATCCATTCAGTGGACTCCCTTCGGAAGACCCGCATGCCCACATGACCCGATTTGTCAGATCCTGCAGTATGTTTAAACCCAATGGAGTTCCAGAGGACGTGATTTGCCTTACTTTGTTTCCATTCTCTGTCATTGGAGAAGCCGAGACATGATTGGATTCACAAGACAATGAACACTTCACTTCCTGGGGACAGTTATATCGAGAGTTCATGAACGCATTCTTCCCTCTCACCAAAACAATGAAAGTGCCCAAGAAAGTGCAAGATTTCAAACAAGGAGCAACTGAATCATTGGGTGAGGCATGGAGAAGATTCAAGACATTAAGAAGACAATGCCCTCTCGATCTGCTGCACCCTTGGGACGTAATCTGTATTTTTTACGGAGGTTTAAACGATGAGAGCAAAATGCTTCTGGATTCATCTTCTAGTGGGGCATTCGTGTCATCATAACCTGCAGACGCTGAGGCATTAATTGAAAAGATCTCTTCGAATACCACTTTCTGGTACAATAGAAGAAACGCCAAGGCAGGGATGTATGAAGTATCTGGGAATGTAGCCCAATATGCTAGGGTTGAAGCCATGAGTAATGAGATAAGAAAAGTTGCAGAAAATGATCCAGAAAATGGACACTAAAGGAAAACCGTGCCTTTCTTGGCACAAGTCCAATCTCATGGAAAAAAAAAACAATCTAATGTCTCAAGGTCCTCAGCTGAAGTCGAATACCGTGCAATGGCTAATGCTGCTAGTGAAATCACATGGCTTCAACTATTACTCTCTGAATTAGACATTCCTACCCACCCGGCACAACTCCACTGTGACAACCAAGCATCACTCCACATCGCCAACAACCCCGTCTTTCATGAACGAACGAAACATGTTGAGATTGATTGCCACTTTGTTCGTGAAAAGATTAATGATGGCCAACTTCGCACCACCTACGTTCCTTCAACGTAACAATTGGCTGACATATTCACCAAAAGTCTACTTCCACAATCATTTGAAGCCATCGCATCCAAGGTCATGCATCACCCATCAGCTTGAGGGGGAGTGTAAAGATTAAATATAGAAAATATATTCTATTAATCTCTCTATACATAATTAGGGGTGTAATTCATTCCATATACATAGACTACATATTAAGTAGATTTCTTTTATTCATTATTTTACCATTATATTGTTTTGTATATATATCTCTCTTTACTTGTATGTTTATCATTATCACATATGGGAAATATATTACAATTCCATTTCTTCTTCTGCGTACTCTTCTTCATCTCTCTCTGCACACAGTGCATTTCAAAAACTATGTGGCAGATGTTTAACATTTAGAGTAGTGGAACACTAGCTCCCACAACTACAACAACCATCCTAAATGGCTAAGTGCACACTATTGCGGTTTCGAGTCGTGAGATTGTCGTTCTAGTAGACCCACTAATTTACATGATTCTCATTACTGGGATTACAAAATTTTTTTGTGTGACGATGGAAACCCGTAGTCATTACTCAATGGTGTGTATTAGGTAAACCCGTCTTGTGACTTAGCTGACAAAGGACCACAAAGAGGTAAACCAACCTAAATGTAAAAAATATTCTAGGTATTTAATGAGAATGTGTGTGTACAGATTCAAAACATAGTAACATTTGTGTAATAATAAAATAGTTTCTAACACTATCTTAATCAAACTCTTCGCACAAAGCTTCTTAGTGCCATTTAACTCGTTTGTGTGACTTGAGTTGATTTTGTTTTCTTGAATCTTTGTCTTCCCCACCCTAGTGTAGACTATGAATAAAGGTATAGTTTAGTATATCAAACTATGTATTATTATGTCAACTCTGATTGGAACATGACTCGTACCTAAGACATTTATTATAGAAAATAATAGTAATATTGCTATCAAACGGTAAAATACACTCTTAGTCTTTCTTATATAAATAAGCTGAATTATATAGAATTTATATACACCATCCCATAAGCAATCCGAAGTAGGGCCTTAGTAAGATGAATTATATAGAATTTATATACACCACCCCATAAGCAATCCGAAGTAGGGCCTTAAGTGACTAATTACCGCAATTATATCGTGGACCATGGTTCAAAAACGGCGCCGTTTCATTAAGTAAACTAAGGGTAGCCATTACAACTTAACGGAACACGTATTTTTGGTGTGTTAATTATCAACTGAAATTACAATGTATCTAAACTGACAGTGCCCCACCTATTATTTTTATATTATCAAATGAAACTGTAGTGTATACAAAATGAAACTGAATAACAATTTCACATATTTGAGTGTATATTGTTCAGCGAAACTGTAGTTATATCAAAATGATATTGTAGTTGTGTTGAAATGAAAATGCAGTGTATATAAAAATGAAACTGAATAACATTTCACATATTTGAGTGTATATTGTACAATGAAACTGTAGTTATATTGAAATGATAATGTAGTTGTGTTGTAATAAAACTATTGTGTATATGAAATGAAACTGAATAACAGTTTCACATATTTGAGTGTATAATTTCGAATGAAACTGTAATTATATCGAAATGAAACTGTAGTAGTTGTGTTGAAATGAAACTGCAGTATATATATACAAAATGAAACTGAATATGTTATACAATCAAAGTTATTTTGCGAATGACGCGGAACAGGTGCCGTTTCTTTACCGTTTTAATACCTGGACCACAATGCATTGTGGACCGCGGTCCATAGTATAATTTGCCGACTAATTAAGCACACACATTAAGTGGATCCACTTCCCATGATTCTCCTCATCGTCTTTCTTGAATAAAATAATAATAATAATAATAAAATCTAATTTTTTGTAATCTAATTTTTAAGTTTGAATTAGTACTTTCAGATTTTTGTTTTCAATTTTTTTTTCATATTAATGCTTTAAATGTCATTATATTAAAATTAATTTTCTTGATTTTTTATTTTTTTGTACTTTTAAAACCTTTATTCCCATTCCGGGGTTATACATAACCAAACATTGGTAATCATTCCAATTCCACCTTACTATCAAACATTCAAACTAATTTCACTAAAACCCATTAACATTATCAAATATTTGATTCCTATTCTAATTTTGATTCACATGTGCGAACCAAACACACCTATAATGTATCATAAAGTACAGTTTTGTCTACATTCTGCCTTAGGTTTGCAAAATTGTTATTAGGGGCTAGAGATATAATACTTAATTATTAACTTTGTTTGCTGCAGATATGCTCGGTGCACTAAATCAGTCTCCATTGGTTAGTGTTTTACTAATTTTCTTGGTCTTTACTTGATCTAGTATTTTGTTTGATGCAATAATTAAACGTTTTGTTAATTTCTATGCAGTTCCACCCGCATATTATGCTTATTGGCTGCTTTTTGCGCTAGGTATTATGTCGAGGATGAAATATCAGATGGATCCTCCGGTGGTAGGGCTAATGTTAAGCCATTGCCTATAATCAAGGAAAATGTGAAGGCTGTCATGTTTTACTGCTGTAGAAAATACTTAGTTGTTTTATGCAACTGGGCTTTTGTTTCATCTTTGCTGTTTTTTTGGCCTTCTTGGAGATAGATATCCAGGGATAATTCAAACATTGGTGTTTTGTTAGGCACAAAATCAAGTTTGAGAACAAGAAAATTAACTCAACTTTTGGTGTTGATCTTAAGGTTAGACCGTGGAACATGATAACTAAATGCTGCAGGTTATTAACGTATTTTTATGTTTAAGTAAATTTTTATTATTTTTTCCATATTTTAATGTTGCTTTAAGTTTTTCTAATTCTATTTGTTCATGTTTTCTTAAAATTCCGAAGGATTTTTTTTTCTTCTTTCCATATTTGAATGAAGGAAAAGAGGATGTGATTGCCAGTTAGCACCACTCCTACTTGCCTAGCAAGCGTGCACGTACGATGCACGCTCGGGTAGGTAGCGTGCACCCCACACACACTCATCATTCACTTTTTTTTTTCTTTATTTGTTTTTCTAAATGCATTACTACAAACGGATAGTGGAACAAAGTGGCAGATTTTTAACATTTGGAGTAGTGGAACACTCCCACAACTACAAAAACTATCCTAAATGGCTAAGCGCACAGTATTGTGGTTTCGACTTTCGAGTCATGAGATTGTCGTTCTAGTAGTCTCACTAATTTACATGATTCTCCTTATCGTGTTTCTCCTACAATCATACTTAAGTTGATGTGATAAATAAAGAAGGAAGAAAAAGTAGGAAGGAGAATGGAAGAAAAAGAAGAACTTGAAATGACCATATTGTTCCCTCGAATTAAACAAATTAAAATAATTTTATAACTTTCCGACGACATTTGGCCGGTAATTTAGCTGGGTGGACCAAATGTGTTAAAAATTGTATAGTCACGGGACTAAAGTGTTAGGTTGTAAAATTAAGTACTAAAATTAACAAGACTCCTACAGTCACAGAGCCAAAAGTGTAATTTTCTCTAATTTCCAATATCCAAAAGATTGATAGCTATCAAGATGGGACCTTGAGAATTTGATAATGTTGCCTTTGGAACCTCAACAGACGAAAAGTTGTATTGTAACACAATTTTTATAGGTCACACTAGAACAACAATCACAAGACTCAAAAATTGTAATGGTGTGTGCTTAATTAGATTTAACTAATTTTCAATATAGCAAAATGATTATTAACTGTCAATGTCATAGTGGGACCATGAGAATTTGATAACTTAGTCTTTCAAATCTCAACGGACGACAAACGTTCTATTTTTATGTTTAAGTAAATTTTCATTATATTTCTTCATACTTTTTTGTTGCTTTATGTTTTTCTAATTCTATTTTTTCATGTTTTCTTGTAATCCCTTAGGAGTTTTTTTTTTTTTTTTTTTTTTTTTTTTCTTTTCATATTTGAACGTGGGAAAAGAGGAAGTGATTGCCCGTTGGTTTGTTTGTTTTTTTTTTTTTTTTTTCTTTTTTTCATATTTGAACGTGGGAAAAGAGGAAGTGATTGCCAGTTGACACCACTCCTACCTGCCTAGCAAGCACACGTACAGTGCACGCTCGAGTAGGTAGCGTGCACCCCAGACACTCATCATTCACCTTTTTTCTTTATTTTTATTTTTTATTTTTTTTCAAATGCATTACTACAAACGGATAGTGGAACAAAGTGACAGATTTTCAACATTTGGAGTAGTAGAACACTCCCACAACTACAAAAACTATCCGAAATGGCTAAGTGCATACTATTGTGATTTCGAGTCATGAGATTATCATTCTAGTAGTCCCACTAATTTACATGATTCTCCTTACCATGTTTCTCCTACAATTATACTTTTGGAATGGATACACCTTACAATAAAAATAAAATAAAATTAAGACTATTAAAATTAAAATATTATGTTGTAAATAAAAAAAGAAGTTAATCTAAAATATATTAGAGCTATTTTCAATATACTTTAAAACTACTCTACATTTCATAAATGAATTAAATTATAATCATGTAATAATTATTAAAAAAAAAAAAAACATGACTGCCATTGATGCCCATGTCCTTCCCCTTCCTATGATAATTCCTAGATTTATGTTGACCTGATAATTTAACTATTAAATAATTTTCACTTTTCTTTCTTTTAATTTACAACTAAAATATCATTAAATTATTTGATAAATTATGGTGTATAGTTATATAATTTATTTTTTTGAATACCATTGACTATATTAATTACAAGGTAGTATTTGTTATATAATTTTATTTATTTCATGAATTTTAATTTTTAGGCATTGTTTTCTCTACGTAGACATGGAATGCTTTCTTACACATAGTCAAGAAGAATGAGTATAACAAGGAAAATTAGTGACCGATGGATTTGCAATGCAGTTATGGACTGAAATTAATTAGGGCATTCACAATAGTTGGAATTTTTTCTCAATTTTTTGTGGTTCCAGTATCTATTTCATCATCCATTATATCACTTAATCACAAAAATCCTTCCCCACATTAGTTTTAAGTTTCTTTCTCAATTTTTTATTGGACCTACCATTTTATACCACCTTCGGGCGTAATTCTTAGATTAATATTGGCTTAATAATTAATTAGACTATTAAATGGACTTTCATACTTCTTTCTCTTACAACTAAAATATCAAGAATTTTGACACAATCTCTTATTGATCCTAAGGTTAGACAATAGAACATGATAACTAAGCTCTAGTTATTGACTGATCTTTATGTTTAAGTAAATTTTCATTATTTTTCCCATACTTTTTTGTTGCTTTAAATTTTTTCTAATTTTATTTGTTCATGCTTTCATGTAATCCCTTAGGATTTTTTCCCCATATTTGAATGAAGAAAAAGAGGATGCGATTGCGAGCTGGCAGTGGCAGTGTGGCACCACTCCTACTTGCCTAGCAAGCGCATGTACGATGCACGCTCGGGTAGGTAGCATGCACCCCACATACTCATCATTCACTTTTTTCTTTATCTTTTATTTTTTTCCTTCCAAATGCACTACTACAAACGGATAGTGGAACCAAGTGGTAGATTTTTAACATGTAGAGTGGTGAAACACTCCCACAACTACAAAAACTATCCTAAATAACTAAGTGCACACTATTGTGGTGAGGGATCACCTCCGCGTCCCCTTCTGTCGGGACCGCCGGTTCCCTCATGGCCGGCCACACCGCCTCTACCACCGGGACCACCACAACGTCCACCGCCTCTACCGCCTGGACCACCATCATGGCCTGACATTTTTGTGATTGTAATCTCGACCAAAATGGAGTATAATCTGGAAAAGGAATACAAGCTAGCGAAGAAAATGTTATGACTACTCTACTCACACTATTTGTATTTATAAGCTGAAGACTAGTAACGGAAAGACTGTGAGAGGACGTGGAAAGAGTGAGAGTGGCGTGGCAGTACTCTAGAAACAATCTTTGTCTGTATGATTATTACAAATTATGATAGAAAAAATAACTTTTTCCCAAAATAAATAAATATAATGGTGTATGAGCTTATTCATATAAGTTTATCTCTAATAGTGGTTTTTAATGATTTTTGTAGGTTTGGATGTCCCTGTAGAGTAAAGAGAATCAAGAGAGAGAAGACATGCGATTCTCCTGTAAATATTGAATTTTTGCCTGTGAAATCACATCGTGACGAAGAGATATGTACCTCACAACGCGTGAGCACAAAAGTCACACGCCCAGTCTGGCACGTTAACTGCACGCGCCGGATTGGGCGCGTACATCTATATTTATTTATTTATTTTTTGTTTTTCAAAATTTTGATTTTGATTTGATTTGTTTTGTTTTGTTTTGTTTTGTTTTTTTTTTCCCGCTCCTTTCATCTTCTCTTTGTTAGTTATGCCGGTCAAAACTCTTCAAAAAATTACAACAAATGGTGATGCTCTAATAAAGTATTTAAGTGTATAAGAGTAATTTCATCTGTGTGAATATTTTGATGATATTTTTTCAGTTTTTATGTAGGAGGGAGGGGGAAGAGATATGAGGAAAAAGAAAAAAAAAAAAAAAAAGAAAGAAAAAACAAATTATTATGACAAAAAAACTATAAAAAATATAAATATAAATAGAAAAACAGTTTCATTCCATGCCTAGTTGGGCGCAGCATTTTCCGACACATGCATGTTGTACTGGTGCTTTATCTCTTCTCCTTATTCAGTAGACTTCACAAAAATTTTGTATTTACAAGAAAAAGAAATTATGAAAAAATCTCATTCCCCATCTGTTGAAAAATCTCATGCTAGTTATTTTTTTTTATTTTTTTGAATGCTACTAACTCTATTACAATATAGTATCAGTTCATACTTATTTATTTTTTTAATTTTCTTGAAACAACCTCCCCTCCCCCCCCCCCCCCTTCACCCTTTCCACACACACACCCCAAAAAATCTATTGATAAGGTTGCTCTAAGCATTTGGGGACAAATTTACTTTATTCATACAAATAATGAACCTTAATTTACTAAATATTATATTTCTAAGTAAAGGGGATGTGTGTACTAAGTTAAGTTATGTTTTACAAATACTGAAGCTTATGTACAACATAAATGAGCCTAGAATATACATGCACTACTGGAAATTATGGAATTTCCGACCACCTGAAAGTGATCTTAAATCAAGTCGAAAGCCTTGTTCCGACCACTTTTGGTATCCGAAAAAATTTTTGTTGTTATTTCCGACCACTTTTTGGTATCAACTTGATTTAAGATCACTTTCAGGTGGTCGAAAATTTCATAATATCCAGTAGTGATGTATAAATAATTAACATTTAATTAGTTTGTATATGCTCAAATAATAAACCTTCAAGTTATTTTTAATTTATTACTATTTTGTACACATTCAAATAATGAACATTACGTATAAAAACTAATGTACTATATGCATAAAAAATAATGCACCATATGTATAGAAAATAATGTACCTTATGCATAAAAATAATGTATCATATGCATGATCCACCTGATAAGCATTCCATTTGAGGCGTTTAAGCCAATTGATTCACATTATGCAATTTATCTCCTCTACTCGTCTCTCGCTAAAACATAAGTGATTAAAAAAAAAAACTTTAAATTAAGGTTCAAACTTATACTCCCTCTTCATCTCATTTTACGTGTCTAGTTCAATTAATAAGACTTGACTGAATTTATTTTGAATTTAAT